TCTCTCTCTCTCTCTCTCTCTCTCTCTCTCTCTCTCTCTCTGTGTGTGTGTGTGTGTGTGTGTGTGTGTGTGTGTGTGTGTGTGTGTGTATGTGTATGTGTGTATGTGGGGGGGGGGCTCCAAGCGTCAGCATGTCCAAAGAAAGGGCCACCGATGATAATTTTGCCCGGACCTCAGTGAAGGCCGGGGCACACAGAAATGAGCCAGCCCTTTGCAAAGACTGGTGTGATACAAGTAGGAAGGAAGGCAGGGCCAGCCTCTCGGTTAGTTGTAGAGGTGGGGCCCTGGCACTCAGTCCAGAAGGTTCTCTGTCTGGGAAGAGCCCAGTTCCAGTGCAGGCAGCAGCATATGCAATCAGCCAGGTGTGACGAAAGGGAGGAGGCCTTTGGAGGAACATGTGTTCTGCCAGATCCATGCAAGCAGCCAGTTATTGCTCTTTTTTTCAAGTTTTTTTTTAAAACATGAGGAGCAGCCGCGGACAGATTCTCCGGCCAGCGTTGGGAGGTGGAAGGTCAACACTGTTATCTTGGTGGATAAGGACAGTGGTGAGGACCTGGTGCGGACTTCGTGATGGGCAAGGAGCACTTGTGGTGGTCTGACTTTGCAGCATTGCCGGGTGAGAGGAGAGTGAGAGAGGAGGGAGACGTAGATGGTGTATTTATTGAGAGAGTGGGAGAGAACCTCATCTACTTTGTTCTATTGATCATTGATTACTTCACTTACACATGTGAGTGCTCAGTGTTGTAACCTCGGGAAATTAGACTTCCCAATCGATCGGTACCTTGCATCTCCTTTCTCTCTTTTGCTTTTCCAAACGGTTTTTTTTTTGTTGTTGTTTTTTAAATTGAAGAGTCTACCACATGCCCTTGTTTGTTGCCCTCTTGTCCCTCTCCGCCCACGGTTTACCGGGAAGCAGTTCTGTTTGATAATATATGCATATATTACATGTGGTTGCGTATGGATTTGAACGCGGGTGTGTGTTTCAACAGTTCATGGGTGTATTGATCCAGGCCAGTTGACGTCGGCTTCTTCGTCTTTCACACTGACTGTTTTATGTGGCTGCATCTGGATTGGAACTGGGTATGTGTGCATCTTGTGTGAAACATGCGCAGGCCAATGCCATTTGTCCAGGGTATATTGCTTCCGATATGACTAAGGAACTCTCCAAAGACTTGGAGTCGAAGATTCTCTCAGCCATTCCTCTTGGTAAGATGCTTGCTGTCTGCTTGAGAACTTCTGCATACAACCCCAGATACAATGTATGTACCCTTATTATGAATGTATACAAACTACATTTCGGGCCCGATACAGTCGGGATAAGAGTATGTTGCTTTCAGGTGAAGACGGTGGTAGATCGATGGTCGTGGGAGGTTGACTTGTGGAACTCTGAACTCTGTGACAATAAAAAACCTGCATGCCCTGCATGCCACGATAACTCTCTTTTGTGTACTCATGATATGTATTTATATTTAATATTTAATATCTAATATTTAATAAATAGTATTTAATATTTAATAGTTTCATATGCACTGTTCGCTGCAGCACAATGATCTTATTTTATGTTATTGTTTTTTGAAATGGAAGGGGGTCAGCCCATGATATCAGTTTATAATGACTTCATAAGTTCATATCCACTGTGCACTGCAGCACAATCAATTTTGAAGTTTTTTTTAATGTTTTTGAAATTTGACATGTAAAGGGGGTCAGCCCCTGACATCTTGCATCTGCTCATGCCCTGTTTTATTGTTGACAGTCACGTGTGCATAGTACTGCATACCATTTTTTTCTTTTTTCTTTTTTTTAATTACTCATTTGGGGGGCAGTTGTATTCATTATGCTATTTTCTTCTCTCAATATTTGTCCCCCTCACACTCGCTGCCTACATATGTGGTGCTATCTTACCCACGTATCTAGCATGGTGGAATTCGACATTTATTAAGTGAATGGTGACATCATCTATCCATTCTACTCTCTAACCCTCAATGACCTGCTAAGGGGGTCAAGCCAGCCTGCTGATAGACAGGGTCTGCCGATGATGACGGGGATCGAGAGGGGATATTGTGGGGTAGTGTATAGCTAACATGACAACACACAAAGGCTGCCTGTGAGTATCCCCTGACTGTGTGTGTGTTGTCGTGTTAGCTATACACAACTCCACAATATCCTCCACAGTATCCCCTCTCTATCCCCGTCATCGGGATGATAGAGAGGGAATATCGGTTGCCCACAGAGAGGTGATATTGGCTGCAGACACCGAAGAAACTTGCTCAATGCCGCACATGCGATGGCCTATCTGAGATGCGGCGAGCATATGCTTGGCATGCGTTGTGTCGGGAGGATCATGTCGGTAAAGAGTCTATAGACCATATAGCCCATGCAAGTCTTTGTTTCCGTACAGATGATGACAGTCAACGGTGCATTTATGTACGACACCCTGGCATGTGCTATTTATAGACGGGCTGGGACGATGATGCGTATACAATTGCGGGCAACATGCCTTTGTGTTTGTAGGATGTAGGGACTGTGTGACATCTGTCTACGCCGTGCCATGAGATGCAGGAACTGCAGCTGGCGAGAATCGGATCTATGCATATGCGATGTATTCCAGTTTCTGAACAGAATGCATATGCGATGTATTCCAGTTTCTGAAAATTTCCAAGAATTTAAATAGAACGCATGTGGTGTGTACGAAAATTAGGGCTATTTGAATAAACGCATGAATAAACGCACACTTTTGCGTTGTATTTGTTTCCAACGCATATATGCGTTATGCTTGCGGGAAGAAGGTGGCAAGGGCATATGAATGCGCATTGTCTTAAAAGTTACCACGCATATGCGTTATGTTCGGGGGAAGAAGGTAGTAAAATGCGCATACGAATGAGCATCATCAAGAGAACAGACAAAATGTAAGCTGAAGATCTGAAGTGAAATGAACAGGAGTACACCTCCCTCCTTGCCTCCTGTCATAGTGCGCAAGTGGGCGGTTATGGCACACGGGGATGCGGGCAGCTCCTGCTCAACCCCAATCACCATGGCAAGCATGGTAAGGGAACTGAATGAAGAAATAAAAGGGGGTGTACCAAAAGTGGGCCTTGAGAGGCGCAGTGGAAGGGGAGCTGCATGAAGAAATAAAAGGGGGGTACCAAAAGAAGGCCAAGTAAGGCAACATGGAAAGTGAAAGTGAAGATCTTCAAGAAAGAATTACTTCGACAAAAGAAGGCTATTATCAGGGTTTTAATGTGCTTCAGTCTTCTTTCGCATAGAGGCAAAGCTAGCTGTTCCAATTTGAATGAGCTTATCTTAGCGTGCCGTGCCCCATGTTGCTCGCAAAGGAGGTAAAGCTGTGTCAATTCTGGATCTGCTCATCTGGGAGGAAAAGGGGTTGTTGTGGTGACAGTCCACATCACACTCCTCCCGATGAGTTGGTGAAAGTCTGACACAGTGTGAACGCTCGTGAACGCGTGTGCAAACCTTGTGCACATGGGGGAAACAAGTTCCACTGCTGGTGAATTGGGGACCATGCTTCCTAAAATGGAATAGAGCAGCAGTCTCAGAAAGGAAAGATGGGAATGTATGTTGTTGCAGCAGGTGAACTCGGGGGATTATGCTTCCTAAAATGGAATAGAGCAGCAGTCTCAGAAAGGAAAGATGTGAAGGAAGGTAAGCTAAGAGGCCGGAAGAAGTTAAGGAACGGTTTGCTGACCTCGCCCAGAAAAAAGAGGGAGGTGTAGCAGAGAGGAGGAGGAGGTTGGGAGGATGCTCTCCCAAAACAAAAGGGAGGTGTAGCAGATAGGAGGTGGGAGGTGGAAGGGAGGAGCAGCTGTTAATACCTTTTTACTTCATGATGCTGCACTTGATGGGGGTGATGAGATATACATGCGCTCTCTGACGCATATGAAGATGAAGTGGTCAGTGTCCCCACTGAAGAAAAGGGAAGATAACCCCACCCGTTGCGGTCTTAGTAGTGTAACATCAGGGGTGGGGTTATCTTTCCTTTTCTTCAGTGGGAAATAAACTTAATAAAGAGGAAAAGAAAAGAAAAGAGAACAAGAGAAAAAATGCTGGCAATAGGGCGAAGAGAAGATGGTTGAGCATTTTAATCTTTGCTAGTCTTTTTTACATGTCCATGTTCAATGTATGTCTTCATCGCAGGACGATATGGCATGCCAGAGGAGGTCGCAGGGCTTGTTAAATTTCTGGCTTTGGATCCTGCAGCAAAATATATCACTGGTCAGGTATGCTGTTCGTTTCTTTGAAATTCTTTATTTCTCCTCTCCCCCCCTCTCCCCCCCCACAACCCCACCCCAGCAGGGACCCCCCCCTTTTTTTTCTGTTTGTTTTTTTGAATTTTTTCCCCATCTTGACAAAAGGCAACTGTGTTCTATGACCAGTCAGTTTCTATTTTTAGATGCCAAATACAGACTGCCCTGCTTGTAGTTAGCTATATTAACGATCAGCTTATTTTATTTGTATTTTTTTTTTTTTTCATTGATTATTAATATATTATTGTCATTGATTTGTTACTGTGAATTTGCGCGAAAATATTACACGGAATTTTCCATACATATTACATAGACTATTTTGCTTATCTCCTGCATGTTGCACCTCAAGTGCCAGCTGATAGCGTCGTTAGAAGGAAGGAACGCTATTTTGCTCCGATGTCTGTGCACTCACCTACCGCGGTGTGTGGAATCCTAGGCTACCAGCCGGGCCGCCCGGGTCCCGAGTGGCCAGCCCGTGCAAGGACCAGGGAAGGTCCCAGCAAAAAAAAAAAATAAAAAAAAATAAAGGGTCACATCAAAATGTTTCACCAAACTTAGAATAAAAATTTAAATTTAAAAATATATTTTTAAAATAATAATAATAATAATTATTATTTTTTTTTTGCCCCAGCCGGGCAAGTGACCCTGGGCCACTCTGGTAGCGTAGGTGGAATCACTATTTTAGTATTTCTTTCCTCCCAAGTACCCTTCCCAGTTCCACAGTTCCACAGTTCCAGAGCTCCATGGTCCCACAGTGGGTCCTCCAAGGCCACTTTCCTTGCATTCCTTTTTTTTTACTAAGTAGTAAGTACCCTTCCAGAGTTCCACAGTTCCACAGTTCTGCAGTGGATCTTGGAGGAAAGTACCGTTCCACAGTTCCACAGTTCCACAGTACTGCAGTGGATCCTCCAAAACCTCTTTCCTTGCATTCCTATTTTTCCCCGTCTCAACCCCAGCACCAGTGGTCTAGTAGTACCTTCCTGGTCTTTTTTTTTTTCCTGGTTTTTTTTTTTTTTTTTTTTTTTTTTTTTGGTGTGTGTGTGTGTGTGTGTGTGTGTGTGGGCCATTCTAACTTTTTCTATATTGTCCCAATTTTAACAGATGTCTTGAATGTGTTTGATCAAAGCTTTGACCTACTGGGAGTGGTGTTTAGCAGTAGTGCTTACAATGCGTATCCCTTTTTTTTGGGGGGAAAGGGGTCAGCAGCAGGCCAGGGGACTCATCTTTCATTCTGCTCCAGTGAGGTTCAAGATGGCCCAGACAGTCTGAATCGGGAAAGTCACGTCTGCACAATCCGGTTCAGGTCAGGCCCATGCGGTCTGGGAAGCTGGGCCGAGACAGTCCAATTGGGCCCAAATTGAGATTGCAACATTTGTCCAGTGTCCACCTTCCAAATTAGCTCCAGACAATCCAAATGGGGCCCAAATTGGGATCCCATCCCAACACTTGTCCCACCACCTGCCAACTTAGCTCCATGCACTGTACGTGGATTTCTGAGTCTGGTCACAACTCACCGAGTTGATTCATCTTAAAATTAAATGATGCTTTTTTTTTTTAACCAGCCAACTTTTCAGTATTTCGCCGCGGCCCATGTTAACCTCCGACAGAATCGTGGTTAGGCCCCTACAGGACCGAAAAATTTGGTGTCCCCAGGCAGAATAGCTTGCTGCACCAGTCTGAGTGAGGAATTGGTGCGCGGCAAACATTTGTGATGTGCTGGGAAATGGATAATGCGTGGATGCTCTGGTGGTTTATCGACGACATCAACAAGAATACAATTATAATTTATAAACAATTATTTTAAAACACTGTTTCATGTCCTTCGGGTCATCTGTTAAAATTGGAATGGTACAGAGAAGATTAGCATGGCCCCTGGCGCCGGAATCAGGGTGAAGAGGCTCCCCCCCTGCTCAGTCAATCCCCTGGAGTCCAGGGCAATCAATGCTGGCAGGATCCTCCTACTTCTTTTCTGATGTACTACACATGTATCATCCTCGAAGGGATGCTGGACCCGCTTTCCAGCAGGTGATGCTCCCCACCAATAGATGGGGCCTGTCCCCAGGTGCCAGCGGTGTCTGTTCCCATCAGCATCGCTAGCACTACTTTGAAACCGGTTTCACCTGCTAGCAGTAGCAAATGCAGATCCAGGGCTCGATCCCTAGTTCTGGCTTACCTGTGTACAGTATCGAGTTGACCCCTGAGTGTTTGAACTGATCTGTGTTTTGTTAGTTGTTGTTTGTCTGTCGTAGGACTGTGCAGATGTAGGGATTCGATCTGTAGGTCCATTGAGTCGGGGTCACAGCTCTGTAGAGGTCGTCGCTATAGGTCTACTGAAAGGTCGAGGGCGTAGCTGCTACAGCCCTGAAAGGTCGAGGTCGTAGCTGCTACAGTACCCGAAAGGCCAAGTTCACAGACTTCCGGAAGGTCCCGGAAGTGGCCTTTCGGAGCGGGCTCACGTTTAGTCAGAGGCAAGTGGGCAAATGGTGGAGCCAACCTCAATACGTTGGCAGTGCGACTGCAGTGAGTCTGCGGTGCCAACCCATGCAGTCAGTGGTACCGGTCCCGTCAGTCCCAATCCAGTCGAGCAAGTACCATGAGGGACTGTGTGCGCCATGGGCCGATGGAAAAGGGCAGTAGCGAGTTACGGAAGTATAAATCAAGAGGCAACGTCCAGCCATTGATTCATTCCTGTGTAAGCCATGCGGAAGCGCTGTCATAGCGACTTGTGCGAGGTGGTCTGCAGTGAGCCCGAGGACGAAGTGGGCGAGGAGGTTAGCCATAGCGATAGAGTAGCAGCGTCCATAGCCGCCATAGCTGTAGGTGCGTGCGGGTGTGTGCGAGTGTACAGGGTGTTGCGTGTGGGATATCCTGGGTGATCCTGTGTGCGAACAGCAGCGTTGAGGAAGTGACGAACAGAGAGTTGTACCGCCATAGCCGTTTGAAGTGAACTTGTATCCGAGCTGCGTTCTTGGTACTACATCTCTGAGTTCTGAGTGGGGGCGCTTGACGCCAGTTTGCTGCGCAACCTGTTTGCATGCATGTGAAGTGTGAATGAAAGCGAGTCTGATTGCGCATGCGCAAGGATGACACGCATAAAGAGAGAAATGGTCCACAAAAAAAAAAAAAAAAAAAAAAAAAAACCGTTTCAAAATCTTTAACGACTTTCATTTTATCAGTCAGTCCTTGACACTTTGTAATTTCTTAATTTACGTTTTACTACAAAACAAGAACGACACAGCTTCTGCCGTCTTCTTCTTCTTCAGGAGGCACGTTCTTCTTTGTTTGTGATTCATTCTTTCTTAAGTTTCTTTGTTATTCATCAACCATGAACCGTCTGGTTCATTCATTGTTGGGTTGGTGATGTATTTGAATTTTGGACTTTGAAGTCTGCTTCATTCATTCATTCTTTCAATTGCTTTGTTTGCAATTCATTATATTTGAAGGGTGCTTCATTCATTCTTTGTTTGTAATTCATCAAATTTGAAGTCTGAAATTTGAAGTGTTAAGATCACAGGGATGAAGTTGAGAAGAGAGCAGGACATGATTTTGAATTGAATTTTCCCTCCCTTTTAAAGTGCGGTTCGTTTGAGTCCCTACTAACAACTAGGAACAACAAAACACCAAATTTGATAACTGAAAAAACTTCAAAAAAAAAAGGGGGGGGGGGGGGGGGGGGGGGGGGGGGGGGGGGGGGGAAAGGAAGGGTGATGCAGCCACTGAAGCTTTTAGGGAAATTTGCTAGGCTACCAGCCGGGCCGCCCGGGTCCCGGGTGGCCAGCCCGTGCAAGGATTAGGTAAGGTCCCAGCAAAAAAACAAAAAAAAAAAACAAATCCAAAAATTCTGAAAAAAAACTATGTTATGCAGAAAAATAAACTGAACAACTTATTTAAAATAAAAAATAAAATTCCAAAATATTTTATTTTTTTTATTTTTTTTAAATTATTTTGGCCCGGCCGGGCAAGTGACCCCGGGCCACTCTGGTAGCCTAGGAAATTCGCATGGATTTTTTATTTTTTATTTTTTTTTTTATTTTGTTATAGTGATGCAGACTGCTGCTGTTCTGGGGGGCAACAGTCCGGTTACTTATCCCCGGTGAGCATGTTTGTACATAGACAGTTTCAAAAACATAATTTATATTTTTATTTTTATTTTTTCATGAAGGGAGAAATTTGCATAGGTGAAGCTTTTTATATTATTAACTCTTGTTCTATGAATGAATGGTGTTTTTTGAACTTTTTTCTATGCATAGAACACGCAAAAGATGTAGTAATAATAAATAAATAAATAAATAAATAAATAAATAAATAAATAAATAAATAAATAAATAATTCAAAAACGAATTGTTCCGAGGAACAATAACAAATCGATAAACTTGAATAAAGTGAATTGTAAGAGGGGCACCAGCGAAGTTGACTTCGTTGCCATTTCGAGGGGGGAAAAAAAAAAGAAAGAATGAACTTCAATGTCCTTCATGATTTGACCAAGCTCCACTAACTTCATAAAACAATGGTAATTGATTATTTTATATATTTATTTGAATTTGAATAAAAGGTATAAATAGAGAGTCAGAAAAAACATTAAAAAAAAACAAAAAGCTGAAACACCAGATGGTTGGCGACATGTTGGTCTTTTTGTTTGTTGCTTGCAGACCTTTGCTATTGACGGTGGGATGACGATGCAGTAGACGCACGTGGTGACATATGTGCTGAGGGAGAAGGAAAGAGTGGATGACAAAAATGTTTTGGAGAGGTCATTATTTCCAACAAGAATGTTCTGGAGAAGTAAAGGGGAGCAGGTAAGAGTGGATGGTGGAGACAGAAATGAGATTAGATAGAGGGTTTGGGAAGATAGGAAAGGTGAGTGGGGGTAGGTAGTGAATCGACACTAGCCTGGTTGAGGACTGCACGCAAGCGGTCAAGGAGGTTTTAACTGTGTACTGGTGTTCAAACATGCAGGAAAGCCTGCGCGCCCAGGCCATGAAGCACCGGAGAAAAAAAAATGAACTGGGCGACGGTTCCGAGCGACCGCACTCCACCGGTACCACCTCTCCTTTGGCTTCTCGTGGCCCCACAAGGGAAGTTACGCGAGATCCACTTTTACTTTTAGAAGGATGAGGGAAATTACTCAAATCCAAGTAGTTGTATTAGGTCCTTAAGACAGATTTCTAGAGAAATGGCCTGGTTTTGCCCACTTGCCACATATGTTCTGGCTTTAACAGCTGGAGAAGGACATGCCTCACTCTGGCTGATTTGTGGGAGGGGTTAGTGGAGAAGGCTCTCTGTGAAGCTATAGAGGTGTTTTATGTTCTTCTAGGCAAGCCCTTTTATGAAGAAGCCGTCAATTCTGAGGCTTCTCTTACCACCACCGGGATAGAGGTCTTACGCAAGGGCTATTTTAGTGTTTTTGCAAAAAAAAAAGCAAAAAAAAAAAAAAAAAAAAAAAAAAGGGAGAGAGGTACACCTGGACATTTGCCCTAGTGTCCGCTCATTTGCTTCTTTGTCTCTTCCGCTGTTTTTTGTCCCTTCCTCGTCTTTTCCCTTTTTGGTTAGTGGCACAATTGTTCCATCTTTCCCTTATTGATGAGGGTTCTCTCGGAGCTGTTTAAGTCCCATGTGGTATTGCTACAAGCTTTTTCTTTTTTCCTTATCTGCTGGGCAAGATGACACAATTTTGGGATATGGCTCTACGACAAGGATAGAACTGTTTTGTCCATTGATACACTTCAATTGTGCTACAAGTGATTACCCAAAAAAAAAAAAAAAAAAAAAAAAAAAAACACAAGTGATTACCTACAGGCTGTGTTGTGTAACAAGGGTCAGATCCCACTACCCTGGATTATTCATTTTTCACCCTCGATTACGAAGATCGACGGTCAGAAAGGAACAATAGGGGCTAGTGGGATCTGGCCCTTATAGTTGGAATTAGAACAGCAGCAGTAATCTGTTGAAGAGCTAGTGTGCCAAACTCTTTTCTCTATTGGCTCTCATTTGTTTACACCTTTTTACGCCCTGCACTCATGGTTAATGGGTGGTGTTATGTTCGGTGAATTTTTCACCGAAACAGTGTGAAAGTACCATATTTCCCTGAATTTTTGCCTTTTTTATGTTTTTGTTTGTTGTGTGATATGTATGTGCTTGAGGGCATATCTGTATTCAGTTTCGGCGTATTTGGACGAGTAACGAAGAAGTTGGCAAAAACACCGAATTCGGGAAAATTTTTGGCAAACTTCGAAAGCTACTCCGAATAGGGTTTTATAGTGCTTTTGAGTTTTTTTTTTTCCGTTTTTTTTTTTGCCTGTTTCGTCTTTTGATGTGTGTATTATGAGCCTGCATAGTTTGTTCGTTAAATTTTCGATGACATTACTTGTAGTGATGCAGCGAAAAACCCCGAATTTTGGGCCTTCCATTAATTGCGTGTCACGCCCTGTGGTCTGAAGCCAGCCATTTCAAAAAGTTAAAAAGACCAAAACTTGTTGCCACAAGAAACCGCAGCCGAAACGTCAGACGCTAGGCCTGCTGTTGATATATTGGTTGGATCGGTGGTCACTACTTTTTTATTTGCGCCTCCGGAATTCGAGGTGTAAGGCCGGCGGCCCAAGTAGCGGTGTGCTGGTGCTTTAAGAGTTTAGGCAACTTGGCTCGGCCGGGTGTGCAGTATGGCCGTGACTTGCCCAGGGGTGACCTTCACGGGGCGTCGCGTGCATGCAAAAGTCAGTCGTTTTTTTTTTTTTTCATTTTCTTTTTTCTTCGGTGGGTTTTCTTTGCACATGTCCAGAGGAGCTCAAATTTGGGTGTGTTGTCTGTCAAGTGAGTGGAAAGGGGGGCATAAATTTTCAAGGGGTGTAAATTGGTTTTCTGGATTTTTTTTTTATTTTTTTTTTAGTGTGTGTGTGCTTTGGGAACTACTATCGGAACCCTGCCTGCAGTCCATATGCACGGCCAGTTCCATTTTAATAAACATGAATGTCATTTGGACCATATGAATGCGGTCTTTCTTTTGGTCAAATGAATGCTGACTTTGCATGGCCGCCGTTGGTAATGAACTTTGGTGAAAAGCTAGGCTACCAGCCGGGCTGCCCGGGTCTCCTCGTTTGCCTGGACTGCCAGGTCATGCAAGGACCGTAGGAAAAGAAAATAAAAACAAATCCTTGAAGAAAATTGTGATATGCAGAAAAATAGACTCGACAATTTTTGCTGCAGGGTCATATTTGAAATTCTTTGCCAAAAAAAAAAAAAAAAAAAAAAGTTATTATTATTATTTATTGACCTGGCAGGGCAAGTGGTCCTGCGCCACACTGGTAGCCAAGGTAACGAGAGTGTCAAATTTGGAAAAAGAACGGGTGTCAATGTGTTTATGGCAAGAATGTCTTTTTCTTTTTTATGCAAGAGAGAGAAAGAGAGTTCAATACCATATCAATGCAACAAGGAGTACAGGTAAGGCAAGAATGTCACGCGCGGGAAAAGAATGGTGATGTCATAGTCTTAGCCGCAGCACCTGAGCCAAGAAAGTGACCAGATGAATGGCATAAGCAGCAGAAATGCCAGCCAATAGAACGAGAGAGGAGTTGTGGAAGGTTGACACGAGCCGAAGGGCCATAAGGACTAATAACTATACAATTGAATCGATAATAGATATGCCAGTGCTGCTGGCGTCAGACTGCACTCTCCAAGGCATTTGTGCCATAAGGGATTGGACCATTCTTTTTTTTCTTTTTTTCTTGCCAATATTATTATTATTTTTCTTTTTATTGGAATCGGACCAGAGCAATGCTATTGGTTAAAACAACAGGGCCCGCTATTGGTTGAAAAACTGCACCCCAAATGCATTTGTGGGGTACCAGATGGGCATTTGTGGGGTATATAAGATAGATTCTCTAACATATATAGCTTAGTGTTTTATTCTTATAATTATGCATTTCATCGTTTTTTTACCATTCAGAATATGAAAATTTTTGATCAAACTATCAATGAGATAAGGGATTTGATGAAAAACTGAACTCTTTTTACCATTCAGAATATGAAAAATTTTGATCGAAGTATCAATGAGATAAGGGATTTGATGAAAAACTGCACTCTTCTGACCACAAGGCATTTGTTGGCTAAGGGATTGAACAAGGGCAATGCTATTGGTTGAAAACAATAGGGCCTTTGTGAACTAGATATCATGCAGAAAGTAGTGCTGAGTTAACCTGGTGTACCAGCTGGACCTGCACCTTCGGTACCAGTTGGGCGTGCCCA